AGCCGGACAAAAATCCAGAGCCGGAGTCGGAGACTAGGAGGCGAACTCCTTCCGTGCCTCTCCCGAATCCAACCTTCCCAATCTCACTCACGCCCGCTTCCTTCCCCCATCGTCCTCCTGCCTCCTCCAGCCTCCTCCTCCGCGCTCCTCCCGAAGCCAAGCACGGCCTTGCGGCAATGACTGTTTCAGAAAAAAACGGCGGGGGTCCGGGTGCAAAAGTCCAGGGCCCGCGGTCCAAGGTCGGGCCGAGGCCCAGGGGCCCGGGCAACAAATCGGGGGTGGGGCATTTTTCTGAAACCGCGCGCACTTTTTCTGAAACCTCCCACGCTTTTTCTGAAACAGCGCGCCCTTTTTCTGAAACTGCTCAGCCTTTCTGAAACGGCACGCCTTTTTCTGAAACCGGCCTTTTTCTGAAACTGCTGTATTTTTTTCTGAAACGGTTGCCACCGGTCTTCAGCGGGAAAGCTGTTTGTTTTGTGCGGCCCAATTGCACCCGACTATCATGATGACCATCTGCTGGATGATCACGAATGTCTTTGAGAATCCAATGGCGAGGACCTGCACGATGAAATCGAAATTTACCAAATTTCTTGTCATTCTCTTTTTGCTTTAACCTGAAGTTTTCCGCGCCCTCTGCCACCGCCCCGCAAGAGGCGGAGCCTTCTATGCACAAATTCATATTGGGGCAAAAGCACCGTGCAACCACAATTTGCTGGAAAGAGCGATGTTGAAATATGCGCAAATTCAGAATGCGTCAAAAACGAATCGGATGCTGCAGCGGAAGTGCCTCTGCATATATGTGCGGTTCATGACAAACCGACGGCGGAATGTTGTCGGAAGTTGTGAAAACATCAAAACATATTTACATACATACATACATACATACATATATATTATATAATATATATATATATATATATATATATATATTCGTAACTGTTCGCAATCAATTGAGCACTGGGTAGATCGGGAGGAAATCGCAATGGGAGGAACGGGGAAAGCCATCAGGAACCCAGATTGGAAGGAAACCAAAAAGGGAGGAAACCAGAATAGGAGAAATAGAAAACAAGAAGAAGAAGAAGGAATATGAGGAAGAAAGAAGAAGAAGGAGGAATAGGAGGAAGAAAGAGGAAAAAGGAGTGGGAAAAATAGGAGGAAGCCGCAGTGGGAGGAATGGAGAAAACCACAATAGGAGGAACCCGGAATGGAAAGAAACTGCAGAATGGGAGGAAACCGGATGGGAAGGAATAGGAACGGGAATGAGAGAAATAGGAGGAAACTGACATGGGAGGGGATGTCAGGCAACCGGAATGGGAGGAACCCGGAATGGGAGGAAACCAAAATGGAAAGGAAGAAACATATGTGTCGGTGGATACCGAAACCGATGCCGATGGGTACCGAAACCGGTGTTGGTGGATACCGCCGGTGGATACCGAAACTGGTGTCAATGAATACTGAAACCAATGTCGATGGATACCAAAACCGGTGCCGATAGATACCAAAACCGGTGTGGTAGATACCGAAACCATGGTTTCGATACCGAAACCGTGGTTTCGATAGAGTCCCCTTCTGGATCACGCAACCAAGCAATCGCTTTGAATAGATAGCCCGGGACCGACCACATCGTCGACAATATGACGAAGAGCGCTGGCAACAACAATGCAGCGATATTTTTCGCTTTTCTCGACGCTTAATCTCGAATGAATTGATTGTTACTTGGAATTTTCATGGAATGCGACAAAACCAAAACAATTTCACACATTTTCAACAACATATAGAGAAACAATAAACAAACACATCTTTTCCATTTCGTGTAGGAAAGAAACACACGTAACGATTTGTGGTTCATGCTATTGTCAGGCACGGTGCCCGCTAATGAGAAGTACTTTTATTCGGACGTGGGCTTCATCATAATGCCAGAGGCGATCGAATCAATCATACATTTTTCAATGCTGGAGTATATCTTCTAAGTGAAGATGCGGTTGTCCCGGTATCATGTTCTGACATTTCGGCCTTATCGTTCCGTTTGAATGCCCCGCGCGGTTTGCCATTAATTTGTGAAATCGCCATAATTAATTCACTAATTCAGAATAGGAACCCCGCGGCCGGGCACGAACGATCAAAATGGTAGATTATTGGGAAATGCCGATACGAGAACATCATTACAGCCGGCCCCCGGGATGGCTGATTTGGCAAGTGCACAGAAATCGCCATCGACAAGAACAATTCAGAGTCAATTGCTTCCGCCAGCTCCCGTCTGCCAGCGCGTGCCCCCCAAATTCCACGGAACTGCAAGTAATTTGTCAACCCCGCGCCCTGGACCTGAACAACATGGACGATGAAGCCTTACTACCTCCAGCACAAATACCAAGCGCAGAGGCACCAATAACCATGGGGGCGATGAACACCATGTTCCGGGACTACCTCGCTCCAGTCATGAAGGTCTCCCGGGCTCTAGGGCGCGATTTCAAAGATTTCAAGCAATCAATGGAAGCCAACAAGGAAGAACAAAACATCCACGCACATTTATGGTGCACGCACGGCCGCATGTTGCGCGCGAGGCGCAAGGCGAAAGAGCATAATAATAAACAGCAGCCATACGCCAAAAGCGCGGGGGCAAGGAAAACAAGAGCGACATGCCAACTGCGCGCGAGAGAGCAGATGATTACGCGCGCGCCAAACGCGCGCCAACCTGGCCTGGAGGCGCCAAATGCGCGCCGAGCGGACGGAAGGAAGAGGGAGGAATATGATTAACAGACGATTGCACGCCAAACGCGTGCCCAAGTGGCCTGGACGCGCCAAATGCGCGCCGGGATGGAGGGGGAGGAGGCGGAGGAAGAAAATGATGATGTATTTGGTTCCTGCCAAGACGCATCGTCTTCTCCGCATTCAAGTGGCCTGGAAACTTTGATTGCTAACGCGTCCCATTTTTTGTTGTCTAGCAGAGTGCCCATTAAAGCTTCAGAACTGGGGAAACAAGAAGAAATACATGATAACAAACATACATACAACATCAATACATAGAGGATCGCCAACATCAATACGCACATAATACAAAAACCTCACTTGCGTTGGTGGACGCTGAAATTAACGTCGATGGATATTGAAACAAGTCGTGGTGATACCGAAGCCTTTGTGCAACAAATTCAAAATCTGGCGCTGCCAGATAAAAAATATGAGCGCCTTCTGTTCTGAGACAAATGGTGCTTATTTCTGATGTGGGCGACGCCTCTTTCCAAAGCGAGCGAAGCTTGATCTCCGGATGGACACACGTGTCCAAAATGGGGCGAGATATATTTCCGGTACGTGGATTCGATATCGGAACATTGGAAATGCATGTGGGTTGTTTCCATGCACGAATTTTGGGAACCAATTCGATTCTGCAACAAGCGTGCCGCGTCCGAGGAAAATCCACCACCGTGTCGGTGGGCACGGGGTTGGCGTGTCCTCAGGTCCTTCGCTCAATCCCTGGACCCCCCCCCACTCCTGAGACATGTTTGAAAGGCATGGACTTCAATTCCGAAAACTCGGCGGCTTCCCGCGAGCCCCTAGGCCTCCAAAACGCCCCAAGAGGCCTGCAAGAGGCTTCCCAGTAGGGCCCCAAGAGGCAAACATGGTCGACTTTCACTAGGTGTTCGCAGCAATTCAGGCGTTTTCGCCTTTTCGGTTCTCCGATACTCCGAGACAGTTCAAGAGGTCTCCCAAACCACACCAAAATGTCTCCAGAGGCCATTAGATATTTGCTGCGCCTCACATAAATGCGGAATTTCTAAAACGCAGGTGTCCATGTACTACCACTGTGCTGTCCGTTAGGTACGGCCTTCGTGAGTTGGCACACCGTATATCGCCATCCACATCGAGAGGAGGTCTTAGGGGGATGCCTAGGAATTAATTCCGTCCAGTAAACAACCATTCGTACAACAACAAGTCACAACGATGCTGCATCGACATAGACTTGGATCGATATGCTGCTGTCTTACCGGAACTAGCAAAACATGTGCGGCCGGAGCCGGAAACGGATATGATGTTCTGTATCGGGCATGTATCGCCGCCCACCCAAATATAGTGATGACATTTATGTTTGCTCCTCGGTGGCCTGTACAAGATGCTAAATATTCCTCCGTACCATGTGCCCGTCGGGTCTGGAAAACTGGGGTGGATGCCTTATTTGCTGATATCTGACTTGGCCCAACTCTGATTTGCCGATCAACTAATTATTGGGGCAACTCCTCACTGATGCGTGCCACGATCGATCAACTTATTGGGAGAATCTCCCACTGACGCATGATAGGAACCCCTGCAGACCTCAAACAACGTGTTTTTTCCCCTTATCCTTGTCCGCAAGGTGCCTCGACCCCTTGCCTAAGTCTGGGGCTTGCGCCGCGGGCCGCTTTTTTGGCTCATGACGCGCGCGCGGCCCTGAAGCGGCCTCTGGAGGCCTGAATCGGATAACAGAGAAAGGCGCGACTGGAAAACAGACGCGGTGTCGAAGGTCTGCCGGGTCGGACACGTGGGGCGAACACACCAAACCGGGGGCCAGCAAAGCAGCTCACGTAGCTGGTTATCCCAGCGCCACCCGGCGCCGGGGCGCGCGAAGGCGCACTGCAGCGGGGCCGAAGCCAACGGAATGCAGCAAATTTCGCACCCCTCCATTCCCCATCCCCTCTCCATCCGACCCGGCCTCCTCCTCCCCCTCCTCCTCGATTCCTCCTCCTCCTCCTCCTCCTCCTCCTCCTCCTCCTCCTCCTCCTCCTCCTCCTCCTCCTCCCCCTCCTCCCCCTCCCATTCTGTGCACTCGGGCCCCCGCCACCGGCCTCCGCCCTGGCTTGCTGCCCGCTGGCCCCGCCGAACTCCGCCGCCCTCCCACTCTGTGCACACTGGCCCCCGCCACTGGCCTCCGACCTGGCCTGCTGGCAGCTCCGCCCGCTGGCCCTTTTGAGCTCCGCCGCCTCCCGGTGCCAGCAAAGCGTCGCGGGCCACCTCCTCTTCCCCTGTTTTTTTTTTCGTGGCGGCGCGGCGGCGAGATTTCTCTCCGGTCGTCTGCACGATTCTCTACAGGGGAGATCGCGGCGGGGAGAGGTGGGAAGAGGGACTCGAGTAGGGGATCGACTCCAGAATTGACTTACCCCAGAACTGATTTGTTCGTCGACTCCGTGAGAAATGCGTAGTACGGTGAGGGCATTCAATAAACCATTGAACAAGGAACCCAGGGTCTGGAAACCAGTGGGGCGCCAATATTGGACTGGTCATGGATATCACCGCCGCCCTCATGAGATGAGAGATCCCCCAGGGTCTGAAGCATTCTGGGCACATTCCTTAAGCAACACCCCCACCGTAGATCTACGAACATTTTACGTTTCACTCGACGGGACAATGAATTTTGGGGTAAATCAACTTTGCAGTCGATCCCTTACTCGAAGGACGGGGGGTTTCTGGCGCGAGGAGGGGGCCTCCGACGCTAGGGGATGGGGGGCCCACCCGCGCGGGTCACTGGTCGCCAGCGCGAGGTGGGCACTGGGGCCCGCCCAACTGCTGCAGCCCCGCTCGTCCCTTCCGCCGAGGCACCCGCCAAAATAGCCCTCAGACCAGCGCGCTCCACGAATCGCGAAAAGCAGCTGCTCGCAAGTGGTCTGGATCCGTCGCGGGGGATGCACCATCCATTACGTCGAGGCAGCTACGTGTTTTTTTTTTTGTTTTGTTTCCTCCCCCCCCTCGGACGTTTGCGAGCAGGCACTCTGCGAGTCGCGGAGCGCGCCGGTGAGCCCCGAGCGCTACCGGAGCGCGACGTCCGCCTCAGGGTCCTCGGCGGTCGTGGTGCTGCCGGTGCTGGTGCTGGTCGCGGCCTCCCCCGACGCAACTCTGCAGGGCTGCGGCAGCCGTGGCCCTCTGCCCTCCGAGGAGGCGGGGAAGGATGAGGGGGCGGAGGAAATGGAGGGGTGGGAGGAGGAGGAGGAGGAGGAGGAGTGAGGAGGAGGAGGAAGGAGGAGTAGGAGGAGGAGGAAGGAGGAGGAGGAGGAGGAGGAGGAGGAGGAGGGAGGAGGAGGAGGAGGAGGAGGAGGAGGAGGGGAGGAGGAGGAGGAGGAGGAGGAGGAGGACGGAGGAGAGGAGGAGGAGGAGGGGGGAGGAGGAGAAGAGAGGAGGAGGAGAAGGAGGAGGAGGAGGTGGGAGGTGAGGAGTGAGGAGGAGGAGGGAGGAGGAGGAGGAGGAGGAGGAGGAGGAGGAGGAGGAGGAGGAGGAGGAGGAGGAGGAGGGGGGGAGGAGGAGGAGGAGGGGAGGAGGCGGGAGGAGGAGGAGGAGGAGGAGGAGAGGAGGAGGCAGGAGGAGGAGGAGGAGGAGGAGGAGGAGGAGGAGGAGGAGGAGGAGGAGGAGGAGGAGGGGGACAAGCTAGGTGCGCTCGCGTCATATCGGACATCCTACCCCTCCCTCACATCCCTTACCATGGCGCAGATCCCCTCTCTACTCGCTCAGTCGGATGTCGAGCAGGGCAATGATGGGTACGCGATGTTGTAGAGCACAGCATGGCATGGCGTAGAAGAGCACTGCAAAGCGTAGCACCAACCTAGCATTGCAAGGCATGCCGTGGCATAGCACGGGAAATGACGCCAGCGCTGCAGCGGGAGCAGAAATCGAAACGAGCGGAAGCGCGGAAACGAGGCCAACGCTGCAGCGGGAACACGATTCGGAACGAGCGGAAGCACGGAAATGAGGCCAGCGCTGCAGCGGGAGCACGATGCGGAACGAGCGGGGCCCGAAAATGAGGCCGGCGCCTCAGCGAGAGCAGCATTTTGAAACAAATGCAAGCGAACACCCAACTCTGGGGAAACCTGTGTAAAAAAACAATACGCGGGGGGGGTCGAACACTCCCAGGCCGTCATCAGGGGAAGGAAGAAGAGAATAGTATTCATATTGAAAAATTGTGGAGGAGGCGGAGGGAGAGGATGGGGATGAGGATGAGGATGAGGATGAGGATGAGGGGGAGGAGGAGGAGGAGGAGGAGGAGGAGGATGGAGGAGGAGGGGAGGAGGAGGAGGAGGAGGAGGAGGAGGAGGAGGAGGAGCAGGGGAGCGAGGAGTAGAGGAGGAGGAGGAGAGGAGGAGGAGGAGGAGGGGAGTTGGAGGAGGGGGAGGGGGAGGGGGAGGGAGGAGGAGAAGTAGGAAGGGCTAGGGAGGAGGAGGAGGAGGAGGAGGAGGAGGAGGAGGACGGAGGAGGGGGAGGAGAGGAGAGGAGAGGAGCAGGAGGAGGAGGAGCAGCGCAGCAGGAGCAGAGGAGGAGGAGGAAGGAGGAGGAGGAGGAGGAGGAGGAGGAGGAAGGAGGAGCCTGAGGGGGAGGGGGAGGAAGGAGCAGGCGGAGCAGGAGGAGGAGGAGGAGGAGTGGAGGAGGAGGAGGAGGAGGAGGAGGAGGAGGAGGAGGAGGCGCGCACCACCTGGCGCGACGGGAGATCCGAGGCGCGGGCAGCTACTATATGGAGTGCCCTCCAGGGGGAGGGACTTACCAGGGCCTGGGACGGAACGCGCGGCACTGGTCAGAAAGGGGAGGGGAGGCCATCAAATTTATTCCCCACATCCTGAGTGGGGTTCTTGTTTTCCCAGAACACCCTCTCCTTCCCACCCACCTCCCGCTCCATCTCCCATACAGCACAATATTATTCCTACCACACACACCATACCATACCATCATAAGTTCCTACCACACATTACCATACCATAACAGTGGAGCTATTACTATGCTACCAAATGACCATACCATGGCGTACCATAGCATACCATACCCATATCACACCAATCCACACGTACATACCATACATACCTCCAGTACAATACCATACCATATCATACCATACTATTTACATGGTTTCGTGCCCCTCCCACACCTCCAGGGAGGCCCCGCCTGAGCGAGGAGGGTATCGGAATACCATACTATTTACATGGTTTCGTGCCCCTCCCACACCTCCAGGGAGGCCCCGCATGAGCGAGGAGGGTATCGGAAAACCATACTATTTACATGGTTTCGTGCCTGGCCCTCACACTGCCTCGCCCACCCCTTCCAGCGGAGTGATGCGAGGGCTCAAGGGTCTGCCTGCGAAGGCCGACGATTTGTGGGTATCGCGGTAATACCCCACTATTAGTTTACATGCTTTTTTTTTCCCGCTATGCCTCCTCCCACACTCCAGGGAAGGGCTTCCCACCGCCGGATGCCGCGAGTCGCTCAGGCTAGACCAAGAGTGGGGGGCCGGAGGGTATCCGAACACCATACTATTTACATGGTTTCGTGCCCCTCCCACCCCTCCAGGGAGGCCCCGCCTGAGCGAGGAGGGTATCCGAAAACCATGCTATTTACATGGTTTCGTGCCCCTCCCACGCCTCCAGGGAGGCCCCGTCTGAGCGAGGAGGGTATCGGAAAACCATACTATTCACATGGTTTCGTGCCCCTCCCACCCCTCCAGGGAGGCCCCGCCTGAGCGAGGAGGGTATCCGAAAAACATACTATTTACATGGTTTCGTGCCCCGCCCACCCCTCCAGGGAGGCCCCGCCTGAGCGAGGAGGGTATCGGAAAACCATACTATTTACATGGTTTCGTGCCCCTCCCACCCTTCCAGGGAGGCCCCGCCTGAGCGAGGAGGGTATCCGAAAACCATACTATTTACATGGTTTCGTGCCCCTCCCACCCCTGCAGGGAGGCCCCGCCTGAGCGAGGATGGTACCGGAAAACCATAATATTTACATGGTTTCGTGCCCCTCCCACCCCTCCAGGGAGGCCCCGCCTGAGCGAGGAGGGTATCCGAAAACCATACTATTTACATGGTTTCGTGCCCCTCCCACCCCTGCAGGGAGGCCCCGCCTGAGCGAGGAGGGTATCCGAAAACCATATTATTTACATGGTTTCGTGCCCCTCCCACCCCTCCAGGGAGGCCCCGCCTGAGCGAGGAGGGTATCCGAAAACCATACTATTTACATGGTTTCGTGCCCCTTCCCACACCTCCAGGGAGGCCCCGCCTGAGCGAGGAGGGTATCGGAAAACCATACTATTTACATGGTTTCGTGCCCCTCCCACCCCTCCAGGGAGGCCCAGCCTGAGCGAGGAGGGTATCGGAAAACCATACTATTTACATGGTTTCGTGCCCCTCCCACACCTCCAGGGAGGCCCCGCCTGAGCGAGGAGGTATCCGCAAACCATACTATTTACATGGTTTCGTGCCCCCCCCACCCCTCCAAGGAGGCCCCGCCTGAGAGGTGAGGGTATCCGAATAACCATACTATTTTACATGGTTTCGTGCCCCTCCCACCCCTGCAGGGAGGCCCCGCCTGAGCGAGGAGGGTATCCGCAAACCATACTATTTACATGGTTTCGTGCCACTCCCACACCTCCAGGGAGGCCCCGCCTGAGCGAGGAGGGTATCCGCAAACCATACTATTTACATGGTTTCGTGCCCCTCCCACCTCTCCAGGGAGGCCCCGCCTGAGCGAGGAGGGTATCCGCAAACCATACTATTTACATGGTTTCGTGCCCCTCCCACAACTCCAGGGAGGCCCCGCCTGAGCGAGGAGGGTATCCGAAAACCATACTATTTACATGGTTTCGTGCCCCTCCCACCCCTGCAGGGAGGCCCCGCCTGAGCGAGGAGGGTATTCGAAAACCATACTATTTACATGGTTTCGTGCCCCTCCCACCTCTCCAGGGAGGCCCCGCCTGAGCGAGGAGGGTATCGGAAAACCATACTCTTTACACGGTTTCGTGCCCCTCCCACCCCTTCAGGGAGGCCCCGCCTGAGCGAGGAAACCACCAACGCCCAGAGGGCTGGTGGGATTGAGAGTCTGTGTGCCGGAGCTCCTTACATGTCTGCAAGGTCGCTGAGCCTAGTGCACACCAAGGGGTCCTCCAGGGCCTCGGCAAACCCTTTCAACATGAGCGGACAGGATGAGGAGGAGGAGGAGGAGGGGGAGGAGGAGGAGGGGGAGGAGGAGGAGGAGGAGGAGGAGGAGGAGGAGGAGGAGGAGGAGGAGGAGGAGGAGGAGGAGGAGGAGGAGGGCATCAAGAAGGGGGGCATCAAGAAAGTGAGGAGGGCATCAAGAAAATGGGTCCCACGAAACCGTTAATCTCTTTATGTGGGGAACTCCGTTAGCATAATTTTGCGGCGCCCACCCCGACCAGGCGGTCGAGGCGGCACCCGACAGGCCCCCCCCCACATTAAATCGGTTCAAGTGGCTTCCCTGTGCGCGGGTGGAGGCCACGAGACGCGTGCTTAATCTTGGTCGCCTGGGAACTCCGAGTTGACGGGTGCAGGGAACGACCAAGACAGCGCTTCTCAAGCCCACGGAGCAAACCTCCTGGGAGGATGACGTGGGCTGAGCACAACGAACAAAAGGCCACTCGGCCCGCCTGCTCCATCTGGTGGCCCAGGGACACAAACCGAGCGGTGAGGGTTTCAGTCGGCGGCACCTGGGCCAGGTCAAAAACGGACCCCAGGGACCGAGCAGCAGCCTCTAGCGCCGCAGGCGCCGAAGAAAAAACCATCCCCTCCTCATCTCGCGTCGCGAACGCCGCCTGCGCCTGCCACGCCTGGAACGCGCTAGGCCCACAGTGGCGGCCGCTGCCAGAACGGAGCCGGGCGAGGGAGGAGGGGGTCTTGGCATACATATTGCATCTCTTACACCGCCACTCCCCAGAGGATGGGAAGTGGTACAGCAGATCGTGCCCGAGCAGCGCCAGCCCGCTCTCTCCTTCACGCTCTCGCGCACGCCGCAGCATGGGAGTCGGGGCCGAGAGCTCCTGGGCGCACGCGCCAATACTCTGAGCAAATCTGGACAGAAAATCGAAAGTCTGCCGTGTCTGTGTGATCACGGCACTCTGGACCTTCTCAAGCGTCATAGCAGCAGCGTGGGAGTCCGCTCCGACACGCGCAAAAAAGTCGGCCCACGTGTTCCCTAAAAAGTTTTGCACCTCGACCTCGGGTCCCGACGCGACCACAACATCCCACTCACGGTGAGCGGGTGTCCATTCGAACGACGGCCTGGGACCAGGGCGGTCATACAACTGAGAGGTCTGCCTCCAGACAGCGGCGTGACGCCCTCCGCTGGCCGCCAGGCCAGGGTCCCACGACTGCCCCTCCAAGACCGCGCTCAGCTGGTCTGACACCACATGCACATTTAGGGGGCAGACTCTAAGCGCCTGGAAAACCGCAAACCTCTCGGCCCGAGGCACCGTCTGAGTGCCGCCAGGCAACCCCCCGAAGCGGGCCCGAATCGGGAGCCCACGCGGGTCCGGCTCGACCACGGCCCATCCACACCGCCTAAGTTCGTGGCTGCTGCTGCACAGCCCCGAACCGTCGGTATAGACACGCCGCCCCCATGGCGCTTCGGTGTCACCCCACGTGCACACAGGGAGCTTGTCAGGGACGGGGTCAAGATTGACGGGGTCAGGCGGGAGGCCATACAAGGCCTCGAGAGAATCCCAGACCTGCATTCCCGCCTCGAACCGACCCGTGTCCCTGAGCTCAGACCTGCGCAAAACAATAGCATCGGGGAAACAGTTGCCCTGGGACGCTGGATGTTTCAGCACAGCGTCGTAGTCATATATCTGATGACCAAGAGAGCCTACAACATTCTTGCCACACAACTTACACTTGCAGCTGTCGCTCAGGCCAGCCTCATACTTTCTCTCTTGCGACCACAAAGCGTTGCCTATCAAGCAGCGGAGAGCTGCACGACGGGCATTGTCACGAACCTTGAAAACTGCTATTCGCACTCCTCGGAGCCACAGGCGCTCGGACCCAGCCTGAGGGAGGTGGGACAACAACTTCCTAGCTTGCCACCTCTGGATCCCCGACCGCAGCTGTGCCTTCACATCGAGCGGCGCGGTTCGCAACAAATCAATATGAAAACCTTGGTCGTCCACCAACACATGCGCAGCAGACATCGACCAGCCGACACGGTGTAGACTGATAAGCACTGCACTAATTGGGCCGCGGCATGACTTCCACGTCGGCCGCTCGAGGATTCGACTCTTGACGGCCATCCACGCTTTTTGGAGTCGGCCTAGCGAGAACCTCGAGTCCCAAATTACAGCTGCATAGCGTTGGACCAGCGGCACCGTCGCGTCGAAAATGGGGTCATCGAAAGGGTCGGGCTGAATTGCAAGCCAAGTCGTCAAGGACCCAGACCGCTTCGCGCCCACTAAGGTTCCCGCCACGGTTCGAACGGTCCCGAGGGTCGGATCCGTGAGCCCAGAGACCCCAGCCCCGTGCGACCCAGCGGGCATGAGCCCAGTGCGCCACAACAGACTCACCTTGCTGGACGCAGCACGACGGAGGGAGGCCAACTTGTCCCGACGCCGCAGCAACTTCTTGAGACGTAGCTGCTCTTGGGCCCTCACAGGCCTTCCAGAAAAAACCTCATGGCCAAGGTTTCGCATATGGGCGTGGCTGCGGAGCTTCACCAGACGAGCAGACGACGACAAGTTCGACGACACTCTCACCGCCGTAGCCACATACCCACTCTTGGCCGCTTGGAGGATTAAACCTAGCTTGAGGACCTGGCTACAATACCATCTAACCGCGGCGAGTAAAATCTCACTAAACTTAAACAGCTTACCAACCCACTGAAAGCTGGAATCGTCCATGAGGACCCTGGGCCAGACCGTAGGGTATAGGGTCCTCATCTTAACGATCACACGGTGGAGGAGCACATGCATCATAGTGTTGGCGTGGCTACATCCAGCAAGGATGCCTTGATTTGTCACGACCTGCCGCGACACCGAACCGAACGCCTGAATCACCCTAGGGCACCGATAGGATGCAAAGACCATCCACATCATCCGAGGCGGGTATCCAACCTGCCTGGCTTCGGCAAACAGTCGCTCCACGATTACACACTCATAACATTTAAACATGTCCAAGAACACGCTCACAGAGTACTCCCCAACCGCCGTAGCAGCCTCCGCCTCCATATTGTGGTCAAAGGGAGGGGGAGGAGGAGGAGGAGGAGGAGGAGGAGGAGGAGGAGGAGGAGGAGGAGGAGGAGGAGGAGGAGGAGGAGGAGGAGGAGGAGGAGGAGGAAGGACGAGAAGATGAGGAGGAGGAGGAGGTAGGCGAGGAGGAGGAGAAGAAGAAGGAGGGAGGAGGAGAGAGGAGGAGAAAGGGGGAGGGGGAGGGGAGAGAGGAGGGGGAGGAGGAGGAGAGGAGGAGAGGAGGAGGAGGAGGAGGAGGAGGAGGAGGAGGAGGAGGAGGCGGAGGAGGAGAGGGAGGAGGAGGAGGAGGAAGGAGGAGGAGGAGGAGGAGGAAGGGAGGAGGAGGGGAGGAGGAGGAGGAGGAGGTGAGGAGGAGGAGGAGGAGGAGGAGGAGGAGGAGGGGGAGGAGGGGGAGGAGGAGGCCGGAGGAGGAGGAGAGATGGAGGACGAAGGAGGAGGAGGAGGAGGACGAGGAGGAGGAGGAGGAGGAGCGAGGAGGGGAGGAGGAGGAGGAAAAAGAGTGAGGAGAAAAGGAGGAGGAGGCTTCTTTTTTTTTTTTTTTTTTTGGAGGGAGGAGGAGGAGGAGGATGTATAGTTTCCGAAATCTGTCCTCCTCATCGTGCGCTCTCGCCGTCTCTCGGTGCTGCCGCCAACTCCGCTGCTGCACCGCCTCCCGCCGCCCTGCCTGCGGTGGCCGACCCGCCAAAACCCGTGTGGGCGGCCAGCGGCTCAGAGCAGCCGCCCACACTCCTCTCTCCAACATCTCCCTTGCATCCACCTCGCAGTGCAGACAAAAACACACGACGGGAAATTTTCGGCTATTCTCGGCCTCGGGGGGCCCTCACTGGGCCCCGGGACTGTCCAAGAACGACTCAGGACGAGACACCGGTCCCGGGGAAGGGGTCCAGACCTCTGGGGATCGACGTTGTGAACAAAAATCCGGACGGCGCCCAGATCTGGCCAGGGCCTTGCTTTCTACCTCTGGGGGTGAAGACGCCAAGAAGCAAACACACAATAAATCATGAAGTCCACACTTGCCTGTGGCGCTCTCACCATGTACTGGAAAATTCGTCCACTGTGGCCGGTGCGTATCGTTCTGCCCGGGTTGATGCCAAAGAACTCGCTACATGCGTACACGATCTCTTATGACACATCACGCCAGAAACGTTGATGCCTGGCAGCTCGCTCCATGCACTCGACGCACACCTTGTTGCTATCTTTAGCAGCTCGCATCGCGCGCTACCGCTCGCCGCTCTGATGCCGCATTGCTCGGTGCTAAGGTTTTTCGCGCATGCCGAAGCGGCGCTCTCGGAGTTGCTAGAACAAACGTCGCGAAGGCAGGGGCCCAGCGGGCAGCCGCTCGGCTGATGGCAGCTGGTACGATCTCAAATGTAGCACTCTTGCTAAGTGAGCGGTGCCTGGCAGGTCAGCACACGTGATGTTCCAGCCTTAGGCCTTCGAGGGGACTGCCAGACCGAGAGTCTGTGAAATTGGGTGCATTATACTGCACTGGCTCGGTAAATATGGTGCCTCTCGGTGTCGCTTCTGGTTTTTGGTAATTTCTTTGCCGTGGCCTGAGGCAAGAAAAACTGTCTACCTCTTCGCTCCTCGCTGCTCCTCTCCCCCTCTCGCTCTTGCCCCCTCCCGCTCCCCCCAATCCTCCCCGCTGCTGCTCCTCCCCTCGCTTCTCCGTTCCCCCCCGCCCTCCACCACCTCCTGCTCACTCCGCTCCCGTCTCCCCCTCTCGCCTTTTCCCCCGGGCTCCCAGCTCCCGCCTTCTCGCTAGTGGTGGTGGCAATGCTCGTCGTGGTGGACGGCGAGGGAGTCGGCTCGGCGGTCGCCTCGGCCAACGTGCGCTGCCCCCCGCCGCGGTGCCCCCCCAGGGGCTACCTCCTCCTGGGGGCGTCGCGCGCCCAGGCCCAGAGGCACGTGCGAGCGGTGCCGAGCCCAGGGCGAGCCATGGCCGAGGGGCAACGACAAGGGGGGAATGGCATAGGGGGGGGGAAACATCGACCTGGAATCGGCGATGCATCGCTGATAGATTGGCGATGGGCCCCCCACCACAGCGAATCCCCACTTCCATGGGCGGGGTGGGGCCATCGTTTTTGTTCTTGTTTGTTTGTTTGTTTGTTTGTTTGTTGTTTGGTTATATCTGTATATATCACTGTTCGTATTCTTAATATTGTTGTATAATTCACAGGCAACGATGACCCCATGAACTGATGGCGGATGCTTCGAATCTTCAAATCCGAGCGGGGAGTCGGCAAGCTGTCTTGCCGCCGCCGGACCGTTATCGCCCGATCCTCCCAGACGAGACGAAAACTAAAGCGCGGAAGAAAAGGAGCAGAACAGGGGGAGGCGGAAAAAAGAGGCGATGGGAGAAGGGAAACACACGACATATCGTAAAGCACCCACTCGCGGCCTGCGACGTCCAGTCGTGGCTCATGCAATCCAATGGCCTATTCAGCTGCAATGCATGAGGTCAACATCAAATAATCAATGCACCCACAATCGGAGCCAAAAGTGCCACGCAACAGTACCCGTGCAAAACAAGGAGGAATAGGAAGAGAGGGGAGAAAGGCGAGAAACAGGAAGAAATAACGGAATATCCATGCTCAGAAAACGCGCGCGTGCGTACACCTTTATAGGATACCTCCAGCGGTACTCGCACAAATTGCCCTCACGGGAAAAACTAGCGCGGTAAACGGAGGATGGGAGAACCGGCTGGTTGAAACATTTGGCGGACAAGGCGGCGACACGCTCACAGCCAGGAGGCTCCGCGAATCGAACTGCCCAGCGCGCTACGAGCATAAGCAGTAAAGGGTCCGAGGACACCCATGACAAGGCACGACAAATTCTTTGAGGTATGGCGACGGGACCGAAACCATTCATAACAGCCGACCAGAGCGGCCAGGCGCCTGCATGGGCGACCGTCGCTTGCCGTGCCAGCCCGGGCCGACAAATGGCGAACGTGTGACCCAGTGTCGAAGAGACGTGAAGAACAGCTCAACCTACAACGGAACATGCATGAGGAGGAGGATTAATAATACATCGCACCAAAAAAACGACGCCATCGCCAGCAGCGTCCGTGAAACGAGCGCTCCTCCCACCCATGATGGGCAAGAGTGCGGAGGAGGGGGGGAAGAGGAGGAAGAGTCGAGACAGACCGCGCTGTCCTTTGGCGAGGCCCAAGAGATATCGACCCAACAAGTGCTGGAAAGTTCGGGCCTGCCCCCGGCCTCCAGCCAGTCCCCAGACCAGAAAGATACGAACCCATGCGGCGTCGTATCCTCGATTGTGGGCGAAACCGTCCGCATCGCCGCCCAGCCGGCGCAGCCCGCAGAATCGGCCACACGAAACGGAGGGCGAGGGGGGAGGGGGACGGAGGGCGGAGAGTAGCCGCGACGAGGACGAAGGGAAAGGGGCGGTCCCCTGCCCCCCCGCGGCCCCCCCAGGGGGAGGCGTGTGATTGGCGCCGCTTGGCTGCCAGCCGCGGAGATGTAGCACGCCGCGGTCTGTGGTCGGTCAGATACCTGCCGCGCGGCCGGGACGCGCGGGGAGAGGAGCGAGGGCGAGGAGGGAAGGACGAGAAACGGAGGAGAGAGGAGCCCTCACCTGCAACGGCGTCTCGTGCTCGAGGATGGGGAGCCTATCGTTGAAGGTGTCGCTCACGACGTCGGCTGCACGCGTCGGCGTCCCGCGTCTCCCCCAGCACGGCGTCGAACGGCGCCCCTGTCCCAGTGTGGTTGGCAAACTCGCCGAAGTCGACCGTCGTCTCTGGTGGCTTCGTGCAAGAGCTGGTCCATGACCGCGTCGGCGGTCTCTCGGCGCTCCGCACACGGCTGTATCTGACGCCTACGCATATCTTTCACCGCGCGGTGCAGAAAGTAGTTGGTCACCGCCTGTTGCTTGCAATTGCTTGTCTGTCATGACCGATGCCAGCATTCCCTGCGTCAGAGGCTGCTCTGTCAGAGCCCATCCCAGCCGTCTTCTGTACCATGTCTGGCCCACGGGGCAGCGCATGTGGTGCTCCACACAGTCGTCCGCTGTACAGGAGCACCCGAGCACGCAGACCCGGCGGCCCTCCCGGCGAGACCGCATTCGACGGTTCGTTGTCCATCGGTTGAAGACGGTGCTGATCATAGCGGCCCGTATCCGGGGCGGAACAAGGTGTCTGAGGCGCCGTAGATGCTGTGCCACCCGCCGGGCCGCACGGCCGGGCAATTCTGGCAGACTCCACCTGGCCAGGCGCGCCCGGAGACGTCGCTCCACGCAGTAGCCGTCGCGAGCAAGGAGGCGGCCGGCGAACCATCTCTGAGTGCCCTTTCTGCATTGCCTCTCCTTCTGCTCCGTGAGCGGTCCGATGGCGACGCCGCCGAGCGCGGCCCTTGCTGCGTGGATGTGCGCGCCGCTTTTGGCCTGCCGGTCGACCTCCGCCAGCACCGTCGTGGGGATGAGCCGATCAAACCACACAGAGAACCGGGCAAGTTTCATCATTCGATCGGCGCGGCCTGCCTCTCGCTGCGACGAGCTCATCAGCCATTCCCTTCCAGTCAATGCCGCCGTCCTGTCGAGATTCCCCCCACGCGTGCATGCGGAGAATCGAAGCGCGGCAAGAGATCTCCCGCGGGCGTAGGTGCGCAGCAAGCTCGAGATCCAGACCATGGTGCAAGTCAGCTGAAGAATACCAAAAACCTGGTCCAGGCGCCACTCGCCGAACAGCAACCCGTTCCCTGTCGATGACCTCCTGAGGCGGGGCTTCAAGCTGGGCGATAAACAAGACCGTTGGTAAGACGTAGACATTGTAGGCAATGGGCGCCATGTTCAGGCCGAGTTCGCTCCAGCGCCAATCACCCAGACGACTGGCGTACTTGTCAAGCGGCCTCTCCCACGATTCGTTATGCCGATGTAGTACCCGATATGTTCACCCGTCATGCCCCATGTGATGTGGATGGCCGCTTGGTCCGATCTAGTGCTGTCCTGAAGCTGTTCGATGTCGGCCTCCCACCCCCATCGGACCCCCATCGGACCCCCCCGCTGGGCAGCATGGGGCCATCGGACCCCCATCGGCGACGAGTGGACGATTGGGGGTCGATGCGTCCCCCCTGTGCCTCTCCCCGAATGGCGAGCTGGCCGGTGCGCATGCTGCTCTTGCTGGTCCTGTGAACGGCACTGCCTCCCTGCTCGATGCGCCTCCCCTCCTCATCGTCCTCAACTACCCCTCCTCCTTCCCCTGATCACCTCGTCCTCCCCCTGCTCCCCCCTTCCCCTCCGCCACTCTCCTCCTCCTCCTTCTCCTTCTCCTTCTCCTCCTCCTCCTCCTCCTCCTCCTCCACCTCCTCTCTTTCCCTCCCTCCCGCTCTCCCGCCCTCTCTCCCTCCCTCCCTCCCTCCCGCCCTCCCTCCCTCCCTCCCTCTCCCTCCTTCCCTCCCTCCCTTCCTGCCCCTGCTCCCCCCTTCCCCTCCCTCGCCAGTGCCTCTATCCCCCTGTGGGGGCAGCGGGTGCGGTCCATGAGTGGCTTACCCCCCCACCCCCTGCTGCGGGTCCCAGGCGTGCGAGAGCACGCGACAATGCCAGTAGGCACACTTGGGGCTGGTTGAACGGTCACTGGCTGTGCCTGCTATGCCATACTAAAGCTAGATCCGACGCCACCAAGAAAGCCCGCACGGCGGAGCCGTGCCCAGGCAACTCGGCGACTCTCTCACAATTAATTAGAGACCCCCAGAAGCACCAACTTATGATATGTGATTACCTTGATATTGAGTCCTTCATTGTAGTGTGCAAGAGGTGCGGCCGATATACGGAAAGCAACCTCAAAGGGCTCAAAGGTGAATGTAAGGAGCGCTTCCGAAGCAAGTTCTCCCAAGGTGCGTGGTCTCTTCTGTCAGGCGGCCGACATCCCAAGAGCAGTATGAAGGCCCGCCCCCGACTTGCCCTGCCCTTTCCTGCTGCCCAGCTCCTCAAGGAGGGAGCGGCGAGGCAGGATACATGTGAGCGTAAGTGGTGAGCGGATGTAACCTTAAGGTTTCGGTTAGGGTCGGGTCGGCCTAACCTTAGCCTTCCTCATTAGCCTGTGATGGTCCCCCCTTCCCCTCCGCCACGCTGTCTCCTCCTCCCTACACCCACACCCACACCCACACAGACACAGACACAAACACACACGCACAGAACACGACCGCACACACACACAAACACACATAGACACAGACACAGACACAGCCACAACCACAGCCACAGCCACAACCACATGCACACACACACACGCACACACAGACACGGACACAGACACAGCCAAAGACACGCACACACAGGCGAACACACACACACACACACGCACACGCACACGCACACGTACACCCCCACACCCCCACACCCCCACACCCCCACACCCCCACACCCCCACACCCCCACACCCCCACACCCCCACACCCCCACACCCACACCCACACCCACACCCACGCAC